ATTTGATGCACACCTGATCATAATATTAACGCTGGTTGTCACCTGAGAGCTACGCTGTTGTACAAACTGATTTATTAATTATGTTGTAAAGAGTCAAGCTGTAATTACTATGAAATAGAAGATGTAACAAGAATAAGTATGTTGGTGAAGCTGTAAATGATCCAAAGAAAACTCTTCGCGTAAGTTTCTGAATGTAAGAAGAGTTTTTTTTAATATCCAGCCAAAGCAAGGGTGGAGTAGTTCTTAATCCACATCCAACTAAGGCAAGCATGTCGTGTAAAAACAATTTTTCCAGAGCAGAATTACCGAAATTGAATACGAAATGATTTTCCTAGAATTTGTGGACGAGGACCGGGGGCACACGCTTACGTACCCTGTGGGAGGTGGGTCAGTTCCTATCTTCCGGAGATCTATCTAGATGCATGTTGTAGTTGTAGTACGGAATATCTGATATCTATGGAAAATAAACGGAATATCTATGGAAAAAAAAAAGATCGATGCCGATGTCGCCCAATGAATGAATGAATGATGCATGTAAAAAGTAGTAGATATTAATTCTTGGCATTGATTCAAGAAAACACCAGCTTCAACAACGATTCAACGAATCACCTGGTCCTCCTCAGCGAGAGGGTAATCCGAAAAAAAGGAAGTCCTCCTCAGCTAATCCGAAAAGAGGAACCTCCGCACAGAGTAATTCTGAACTATGTATGCCGCACCACCATTATATATAAGTCATGATGAAGATGATCATGATATAGTTAATTGATGTTGTCTGTTTAACAAAACCTGTACAAAGTGATGGTGATTGAACTACTATGTAAAAATATATCCATAAGAATGCTTGAGTTTGTAGTTAGAAGAATGATTTTTGAGTCGTGTAATAAGAAAATGCATGGATGTACTAATATAGATGTGAAGATTGAAATAATTTTTGGGAAAAAGTCGTGTATCTGCATGATATGGGAATAAGTCGATTCATCAAGACAAAGATTTGTACCTCCTGGCAGGAACAAAACCAAAAGGAAGACGAAAACTGAAACTCCTTGACTACGTTGTCGCATCGCAACTTACCACCAAGAGCTACAAAATCGCTTTCTGTCCATGAGCGATCATAGACTTACGGTCTAATCTTGAGGAGTGATCTTGAGACGATGAAAGAATACTTCCACGATGCATATTTGCTACCTGTTTCTGTGGAGCTAACTTGTCTCTTATCCTCCAGGGTTTCTGAAATCTGTCTATTGACTAAGTGGGCAATACTAGCTACATAAGACGCGCCATGGCAACATGACATGCGTAGGCTGAAGATTTCTGTGAGATGATAGTCATTTCAAAAGTCCAAAGCTTCTGCTGTGCGTGTGAGAGATCTTGTGAAACCTGTGGTTTGGAGTGAGAGTTTGAAATAAAAGCCATCCTTTCTGTCAATGAGTGTGGAGCCGTGCTTCTGTACACCTATTGAGAGTTGTGCTTCAAGAGGAGCTGAGTGTCATGATACTAGCTTGGAGCGTCCGATAACATCCCTCCCACTAGGATCCCCCTCCTCCCCAAAGTAAGAAACTAAGCAGGGCAAAGATGTAAGCGATACGCGTTTTCAAATTTCGAAAATTTTCCACGTTTTGCCATCGTTTGAGGATTGGATCTCGTGCGTTTGAAGTCAAGGGCTAAGATCCCAAAACTTTCCGACTTTCAGCCCTTTCGCTGCAATTCAGTTTCTTGGATCTGCATTTTTCAAATTTCGAAAATTCTCCGCGTTTTGTTGTCGTTTTGGGATTGAATTTTGTGCGTTTGAAGCGCTAAAGTCCCTAAGTTTTTGACTTTCAGCCCTTTCCCTGAGGTTCAGCCTCATGGATTTGCATTTTTCAAATTTCGAACATTTTCCACATTTTGTCGCCGTTTTGGGATTGAATTCTGTGCGTTTGAAGTGCTAAAGCCCCAAAGTTTTTGACTTTAAGCCCTTTCCCTGGGATTCAAGCTCTCGGCTTCGCGTTTTTCTAATTTCGATAATTTTCCACGTTTTTCGTCGTTTTGGGAGTGAATCCCGTGAGTTTGAAAGGCTAAGACCCCAAAACTTTTGATTTTAGGCCCTTTCGCTGGGATTGAATGTCTTGGCTTCGCGTTTTTCAAATTTCGAAAATTCCACACGTTGAGGCCATTTTGGGGCTGAATTTTGTGCCTTTGAAGCCCTAAAGCCCCAAAATTTTTGATTTTAAGCCCTTTCCCTGGAATTTAATTCCTTGGATTCGCGTTTTTTCAAATTTCGAAAATTTTCCACATTTTGCGCCATTTTGAGAGGGAATTCCGTGCGTTTGAGGTGCTAAGATCCCAAAATTTTTGATTTTAAGCCCTTCGTCTGGAATTTAATTCCTTGGGTTCGCGTTTTTTCAAATTTCGAAAATTTTCCACATTTTTCGCCATTTTGAGAGTGAATCCCGTGAGTCTGAAATGCTAAGGTCCCAAAATTTTTGATTTTAAGCCCTTCCCCCCGAGATTCAATCCCATGGCTTCGCGGTTTCGTGGTTTCGTGGTTTCATGGTTTCTTTCGTGGTTTCTTTCGTGGTTTCTTTCGTGGTTTCTTTCGTGGTTTCTTTCATGGTTTCCTGGTTTCGTGGTTTCATGGTTTCGTGGTTTCATGGTTTCGTGGTTTGTTTCGTGGTTTCATGGTTTCGTGGTTTCCTGGTTTCCTGGTTTCCTGGTTTCCTGGTTTCCTGGT